GTGTCCATCCTTGCTGAAGAGACCTTCTGGTCAAAATTTCTAAAATTTTAACTCGAAAGTATATACATATAGTTTGAATAGATAAACTTTTATATTTAAAAACAAATTTTTTCCTCCTCAAAAACCAGTCATTTCAAAATCGCTTTTAATCTTATAAAATTACTGACATTTCTGCTATCAGCCAATGTGAAAAGACTTGGCAATAAAAAAAAATAAAATAAAATAAAATGTGTGCAGTTTGCAAGAGCAAAAAATCAAGCAATAGATAAAAATTCCCTTATTTCAAAATTAAAATACACAGACATGCTGAAATGTTCTCAGTCCAATCATGAAAAAATTTAAAAAAAAAAAAAAAATTATTTTTGATGTGTGGTAATTTGATCAGATATTTGGAAGTTGGTTAAGCTGAGAACTTTTCAGCAAGCCTCATAGCATGAAAGAAAAAAAATGTGATATCTTTTGGTTTGAAAAAAGTTTTCAATGTTGCATATTTTCAAGATAAAAAATCCTCTAACCACTAAGCTATCAATCTAGATTGGAATCTTTTGTTGCTTACACTTGTACTTAGGCCAAGTGTGAAATGAGATGGAAATCATTGGCTTCTCAATTCAGAATATATGACTTAGGTTTTATAGAAGTGGTTCTGAGCTACCCATTTTGAACTTGTTGCTAATATTCCAACTCCATATATAAATACAAGACTATTGTACTTGCAGTGGTTAGAGACTGTTAGCTAATAGATCATCCTAAGTACAAGAATGATAAGCTGAGAAAGAGAAGAGCAATTTCAAAATGGAATAAAAATAGCTCTTCTTGATCAGCAGAGGACTTGTAAAATCTGCAATATCCATCTGGTATGAAAAATCTAAGACTATAAAAAATTACTTATTTTGTGTTATTTGAATCCAATTTCCTATGGTAGATAAATGATTAGCTTATGAGAACGAAAACTCAAAGCTAATAAGGTTCTTTAGCTTAGAATAGTTTTCCCCTGGCTGTAAGTAATGGCAAATCACTGTTATATCAAAGTTAGGTCTTCTGGATTTTACAAGCACTTAAGCAAGCTGGGCATTGCTGCCCTCTTCTAGATATTCAAGTCTAACCAAGCAGATTAATCTGCTTGGTTAGACTTCAGTAAAAAAGCATTATACCTGTTTCTTTTTTAATACATACATAATCAGAACAAAGAAGCAATATGCTTAATGCTTTCCTGCTTTCTGATTGAGATTATATATATATATATATATATATATATATATATATATATATATATATATATATTGAACATAAAATACAGAAAGGAATATTATTTTTAAACAGTTAAGAAAATTATGGTGTAATATTTTTTACTTCATTAATGGATTAAAAAATTTTTGCCCATTTTTATTTATATATTTAAAAAAAACAACTTTTTTCTATGATATGATTTTATTGCTAAGAATAAATAAGAGCCTGATTAACTGTTGTCAGATATGTTGTATTTAAGAATAGAACAAAGATTTAGAAAGAAGATTTATTTTACTAAGATTAGCTAAATTTGGAACAAGTATAAGGCAACCAGTGAGGACTGAACTCCTTACACATGGTCAACCGGATTAGTTTGCTAACCATTATCCCATGCCAAAGGCATCAGATTCTAAATAATTCATTTTATTACATTTTGTTTAGTTTTGATGCAAGACTTCAAGTATGGCGCAACCCAGTGGGGAACATTTGTTGGATCACTTGAAATTTGGTTCAAAAATGTAAAAATCATTGATTCAAGAAATATAACAAATTTTTTTTTTTTTTTGTAAACTTAAATTGAATATTTTTAAAGCCCTTTGCAAGAAATGAATGCAACTTATAAAAACCAAATAAATTATAGAGAAGTCAACTAGTTTTGATGAGAAAAGAAAGATGGCATGTTGCCATGGTGTAATGGCTAGCAAGCAGACAATTACAACTAGTAAGCTTCACCCTCACTTTGTGCTCCATACCCATGGCCCTGTGTCACACTAACCTTAGTCACTTTATCCTGATTTAATGATTAGCCGACCACTGTGAGTTTTTTCTTTTTATCATTTCACTCCAAGCAAGGTGATAAAGTCACCAAGACCCAAGAGGTTACTGAGTATGAAAGACAATAGAGTGAAGGAAACTGAGGAAAAGTGGGTGCCTCAAAACATTCTGCCAGATTATGCTTGACTGAATAAATGCTAGAAAAAAAGAGAAGTAATCCTATTAAAAACATTGTATGCAAGTCAATGATGTATGGAGAAGTTTTCCTATAACGAGAAAAATGTTTTTGATTGAATTTTTTCAGACAAGCCAATAACCTTTTTGTGAACACAGACAAATGTTACAAATGCTTATAAAAGTATTTTTCCAAGAAAGTATTGTCTTTATTCTAATAAAACTTCAAGTGTATGACAAAGACACGATTGGAGTGGCAGCAAAAGATTCTGTTAAAAAAATTACAAGATATGACATACACCTGAGGAAGGGTGGAAAATGGACCAACCGAAACATAGTGATCAAAACGATAAAGACAATGATACTCATCCAAATAATGAGTTTATTTTTAAAGTCATTCGAAAAGAGTTATCTAATCTTGTGACAATCAGGAAGTTTGCACAAGTTCTATATTGTACCTTTAAAATAAACTTGCCTCCTAGCAATCTATAATAAGAAATAACTGGTATCTATTAAAATGCTTTGTCTTAAAATAGTTAACAATACATATTTGACATGAATCTTACCAATTTTATGAATTCTAAGTTGAAAGAAAAGGGCATCTGGTTTTGGTGTTAAAATCTTTCCCTAAGGCAAACAAAAATCATCAATATGACACTAAAGAAGGGAACAGAAATTCAAAGTCCTTTCTTCCATGACTTGTACTTATTGAGGCAGTTAAAGAAATATAAGAGAGAAAAAATGTCTTGTGGCACATAATTGTTTTCAATTTTTAACAGTTATGGATATAGTTTATTTAAAAATATTTTTTGAAAAAAGTTCAATTGGATCTTGGGTTGTTATCATGGAGAGAAGTTAAAAATAGAAGTAGACTTCATTTAAAATTTTTTTTTTTTTTTAAAGAAAATATCAATATTTAAAAAAATATCCAGACTGAATGAGAATTGCAGACAAGCAGTAATTAAGATGTTGCAAAACTACAGAAAAGCCATTTTAATATTGTTCAGCTTTTTTTGTTCATTCAGAAAAAAAAAAAGAAAATTCTCAAATTTACAAAAACATTTAAAGCATATCTCATACATGTACACAATACAAACGGATTTTTGATTTATCTCACAAAATACAGCATTAACTCAAGAACCTAATTAATATCTAATATACTGGGCATAAGACAAAATGGGGATAATATTTTGAAATTGGTAATTAAAGTAAATTTATTTATACTTAACCTGTTTGCTTATTCCTTATAAATGTCATGATGCAATAACAGCAAATCAAAACCATTTTTCTAAGCATCATTCAGCTCAAAAGAACATTGGAAGAGACACTTCATTCCGAACTGGAAGCTAAATTATCAGAGTCTAATTTTTTTTTTTTTTCTGACAGTGTCTGACTTTTAACTTTAATCAAAGAACTTGCATTGCAAACCAAATAAATAACTAAATAGAAATATAGCATTGGAGCAGAAAGTGAGAAAATCAGAGAAGGCACTTTGATGTCTTCAGGCATCAACCAGACAGCCTTTAAAATGACATTAAACAGACAAGAGATATAAAGGAGGAAGATGACCCCCACAAAAAATATATTATTGTAGATAATAGGCAGAGAATATCACTTTCATTTAAAATGTTAGGAGTATGGCGGTAATAGGGGTCAAAATCCCCTGTGATTGTTAGTAGTTAATAAACTAAATTACCACTAAGGTTGCTTTCATCCTTTATCAGCTGGGATCATTTATGATATATTAATATAAAACTTCATTAAAAAAAAAAAAAACTTTAAAAAATCCTTGCATGTGGGTTTTCTTCAACTATTAACCAAAACTTTTTTTTTTTCACATTTTGTCTGTCTGTAAAGAAAGATGTGATAATTAATCCAAAGAAAGCAAAATACAATGATTAAAACACCTTTCCTGATAAAAGTTAAACAAGAATGAACAAAAGAACTTATTTCTCTCCTGCAAAACTGAAGTTACTTCATCTTTGATTTGGCTATTTGATTTAAAGGAATTAAATAGGTCCATTACAAGATGAATCGAAAATTCTGCAACAAACCAATTATTTTATGAATGGCACTATGATTCTCAGAAATAAAAGATATACTTTAACAATATTCAGAAATCACTGCCGACAAAACTAGGTTTAAAAATAAATGTTTGGCAATAGCTGAGGAACATTTATGCTACAATAAAAAAAAGAACTGTAAAGTCGATTGTTATACACCTTCTCTGCCTTTGATGCTATATCTGAATGAGTGCTCAACTGAACAGAAGAAAATACTGAACTTCCTTTATATTTGCTCCAAGAAAAAGAAACAAAAATGTGAAGCTCTTTGTTTTGGAGGCTCAGATAGACCAATCACTGATTAGAAAAATCCGAAGGACATTGAGTGCAGGAATGTGAAAAGCGAGGACAAGACATATTCTTAACGTTAGCAATATGTACAGCTGGTTAAAAAAAAAAAATCCAGGAGGTGGGAGGGACATTCCCTACTGTAGGCACTTATGTGTATATGATGCAATATTTACATTGTGAAAACTAAAGACAAAAAAAAAAATGAAATAAAATAAAGAGATCCAAGCTGCAGATATTTCAAGAAAGTTTGTCATCATTGGAAGACCACTGACTCCAATGTTAAGCAGTCAAGTTTCAAGTGGGTGTGGTCTGTGTATGTGGATAGATTGACAGTAGTGAAAGTCTTTAGCTTCTGTCTGTCTGTCTGGGTGACAGAATTGAACAAAATGTAGATGAGCATCACATGAATTGTGGTGAAACATTCAAATGCTATCCAGAGTTGTTTTTGCTTTCAAGCCTTTTTTTTGTCTTCTAGCAAAGACAAGTCTCTGAGTCTACATTTTGTGCATTTTCTTTTGTGTTAGACAATTTAATTGAGCTGCCTAACTCAGATTCTTCCATATCTGTCCCATGACAATTCAGAACCCGAATGCCAGAGTTGGGCATTTCGCATATTTTGACCAGTTCTTGGGCCATTTGAAAGAAGGCCTCATCGATTCCTGAAACAAAAGACAAAAGGAAAAAAGTTTAAATAAAAACACAGACTACAGAGCATATAAGAACAATAAGACATTAAAATGAAAACAAATTCAAATTTGCTCCCAGTTTAAATATTTTGTATTTTAACCTTCCCTCTTAATTCAATTTGTGTTTGTTTTACCAAAGGCTCAAGATTTTAGGAAGCAGAGATGGTTGTAAAGTATAGAATTGGTTAAATTGGTAAAAGATTCCTGAAATTAGATAACATATATATTTATATAAAATGGAAACTAGAATTGTCATGCAAGTTGTATAAGTTATTCGTGCAGAAAGTTGAATTGGTGAGGAAAGCTAAAACAAATTCTGGTCTAGTCAGTTGCATTCATTTTTGCATAAATGCTTTCAGAAAAGGCATGAATTTATATCTTCTACCTTCAGATATGTTAAATAACAGGATTGACTGGACTCTCTAGCTTTGGTTGGCAACTAGTCTAAGAGAAGGAAAAATGGATTCAAAATCATAGAAAAAAATCAATGGGAAATATTCAACTATTTTTCTCAAATTATGAAAGTTCATAGACAATAAAGAAAAGGAAGCTGTGGAGAGCCATTACTGTACATCTTGAAAGGACATGGCATTTAAAAAAAGATAATGGAAATTAAACCTGGGCAGCAAATTATTAGAATACATTTTCTTTTTGCCACTTGATTACTAGTTTTATTAAAATTCTAATTTCTTTATTTCTATAGCATGCCCCCTGAACAGGCTATCATATTTATCCCTTGTTATTGTATTAAATACACATTTTAGCTTTCATTTTCTGTAAGTGAAGACAGAAGAATATATCTTACTGGTAACCCTGTAATATGACCACCAGCAAATAATGATGATCCAGTTATTTAATATAGGAACATAAAGTTGAGAGTTACAAAGTGCAAATAACTTGTTTGTCTCCTCTCCCTGTCACCAACAGATGTCCATGATTTCAGCACATTTTATTCTTTTGTAGTTAAATTTGAATATATTTCTGATTAAGTGAATGTGCTCAAGGGAAATTATTTTAAAAACAATTTTAAATTACTTCCTTCCAACATATGATTTTTTTATTTTATAGGTACAAAGAAATTCAAGTCTATTAATTTATCTGGAAAATTTAGTGGTGATGATTGCTTAAATTTCACATAAACTGAAAAGTCAATACTGATTTATTACTGTGTTGTATTTAATGTTAATTCATGATGTTTCAAATGCCTGCCTCAGCATACAAAAATAAAAAAAAACTGATTTACAAATTAACCCATTCCAAGTCTAACATGAATAAACTAAGATTTTGTTTGAGGATCTGAAGAGATAAATAGGAATCGATAGCAAAAAAGCAGAAATGTTGAGATTTATGAGAGAGAAAAAAATGAAAATTTTTGTTTTCATTCTTGATTGGCAAAATTTAACATCTTCAACTTTAGAAAGTGACAGGATGACCCAAAATAAACACCATACATTCATTTTTGATTTCATTCAACAATATTGTTGCTCAAATGGTTTCTATATGTTCACTGAGGATTTAATACTTAAAAATTTTATTTTTTATTTATGCTCTCTGTTTGTCCACAAAGCTATTGTTCCTTACAAAATCAATCATTTTCAATATCCTGTTTATTATAGAGAAAACCTTCTTCAATCATTCGGTAAAGTGATGTTTATTGTAAAAAAAAGTGTAATAACTTCTGATGATATCTCTGTTGGTAGATAAAATAAAAACTGACATAGCCTGGTACAAAATCATTTACTTAAAATCAGAATTTTATGGACAAGAGATTATTTTGATTAATGCCCCCACTGCCAATTTTTCTTTTTGAGCTCATGGCTTGTTTAAGAGAAATTTGGAGATGCGGATAGTGTAACAGTTGCTGGCATGGAAAGTGGAATCACGTCGCATCAAATTCTGGCTATATATATATATATATATATATATATATATATATATATATATATATATATATATATTATTCACTTTGCACTAATGCCCTTGGAAAAAGTATGACCCCATCTTCCTCCAACCAAGGGTTAAATAGCAGGACTCACTTGCCTTGTGGCAGAAAATTTAGGAGAATGACAACTCTGATTACAAATCCTGTAAATAAAGCAAACAAGGCTTTTAAACTTGGAAGGGCAACCAGTCTAGGAGAAAGAAAACACAATCAGCCTCTTGCCCTAGACACAACCAATGCTGGTCGTCGTAGTATATGACCGTAATGGGTTATGGAACCTTTGATCATGAAGTTAAAGTTTGAATGTAAGTGTCTATTATACAACTGTGGTCTCACCTGTGTTGAACAAAGCAGATGTCTCAAAGAAAAAAGCTCCAATGGACTTGGCATATTCCTGGGCTTCAGAGGCGGAAACTCTGCGCTTATGCTCCAAATCACGTTTATTTCCCAACAGGCACATCACTGTTATGAGAAGATTGAAAGATAAAAGAAAAAAAAACAGAATGTCATTAAAAAATTTTTTTTCATTAAAAACATAGAATATATCTACTCATCCATATTTCAGGATACAGTAGCTTCAAAAAAGAATTTCATGGAAATATATACACTGACAAATCAAAATATTATGACTACCTGTCTAATAAAGTGCTGCCCTGCTATATGCTGTCAAAACAGCTTTTACCTGGTTAGGCATAGATTGTACAAGACTTTTAAAGGTTTCCTTTGCAAACTTTGATAAAAACCAAAGAATCTGCAATTTTATTGGTCCTGATCTGGCATCTTGCCTTCAATCTGTTTCCCACTGCCATAATGTAGCTTTCCTGTGCCTTTTATATAAATTGTGGTAATTGTTATGATGAACTTTCCTCTATGGTATCTAGACTTTATGAATTTAAGCAAAGTACTAGATTGGCAGCTAGGTCTCATCATTTTACACTTGAATTGGCCTGATGTTCTATGCTAGCAGGTTCTTCTCTTGCAATTCTTGCCTATGGAACTCTTACAGTTTCTTGCTTCCCAATCAACTATGATCTTCAAAATTTAAATGCAATGTCAATTGTTATCTTCAGTCTTCTTCATTCCTGTTCTTGATAGTGTTTTTTTTTTCTCATATTTTCTAACATTTATGTACATGCTTTATTGCCTTACTTGGGGTGGAATGATTAAAAAATTTTCTTCAGCAAGGATATTAACAGCAGGTCCTTTAATTCATGCAAGTACACATCTAGCAGAAAGATGCCATTGCCATTGTTGAAGACTGTTACCATGAATGATATTTTCTCCCGGCAGAACATTGCCAGAATCAATAAACTATCTTTACTGGTTTGTTGAATTCCCACAGTGTAGCTAGGTGTCATCACTTCTGTGGGATAATGATACACATGTACCCTTCTGTTCTCCTTATTCAGGAGAAAGTGACACTCATCAAAACAAGTGGCCATTTTCTATTGATACAAAGTCCAGCTTCTATGATCACTGAAGATGTTTTTGGCAATCGACATAGGTTAGCATCAATACTCTAACTGGTTGATGGTTGTGTGTATCCTAACACAATGAGATTTGTATGCTGTGGTACATGCTTTGATTTATCTTAATTAAAGCCATCTGCAATTTGTACCACAGTAGCCATTTTGTTGGCTTGTACTTGGTGAGAAAAACCTCAATTTACTTCTCACAATACGTCTTGACTACCCAGTGACTAATCAGAAGTTGAAGATTTCTTTCTTTAGAAGGCCACTGTTATTCAACACAACTGAATATGAGCAACTCACAAGCTATAGTGTTTCATAAATGCTGACCTAGAATTCTAGTCTTAATCCATCAATATCCAAATAATAAAATAAAAAAAATTAAAGTAAAAATCTGCTATGTATTATGTTTCTACCTATAACTCATTAATGCTCACCATCCCCCAAAATGGGATGGGGCATTAATGGATTAAGTAGGTCTTTATTAAAGTCACTCATATCTTTTTCTTACCAATAACTGTGGCATTCAACTAATGAAAATGTTGTACTTGAAGCCAACTTATCTGAAATACCCAGTTTTTATGAGAGAGTAGCTGTCATTCTTGCCACATGTCGCTGGTCATAATGTTTAATCTCATTGATGTACAAAGCCCTTTCGGATTGTTTCTATGTACAACATACCCTAGCAATGTGTTGTATCTATTAAGTCATATTTTCATGATGAATTGCAACCAGAATAGAACAAAATATATGCAACATTATGTTAAGCATTTTTAATGTATCATATGTCATATAATTGTACAACTTGAGCCGAACAAGCATAGAAATGAATACAATATGGGAACCAGTAATAAGGAATGCCAGAGAAAAGCGATAATGACAACAAAAATTGCAATATGAGCTCTGGTAAAAACATGCAATGATAACAGCAAAAATTGCAATAAGAGCACTGGTAAAAAATGGTTGCTGAAGACATTAGGTTTATAATATCCAGAAATTCATATACAAATGTCCTCAAGGACACATGGCACAGTGGATAAAGGCGTTAGATCCAGTGACAGGATCCAACGAGTGTGAGTTCAATACCTGGTTAAGGCAGTGGAGAATTTGAAGAGGGAAATTAACAGGAGATAACTGATATGTGGAACTAGAACAATCTACCCCAGTGAGCAAAATAAAGGGTTCAGTTCGACATTCCGACCACCTGAAGAAAGCTGGAGTGTACAACGGCCGAAACGTAATAAATATGGTGACAAAGATGAGAACAATAGTCTGAATATAATAAATAGTGACCTTGATTTTATGTGTCAACACCAATTTTTAGTGTTGACACACAAAAACAATTCAAAAAAGCGAATGCAGTGGTCTGTCTTCTAGACAAGGCATATCTGGACTGAGGTTATTTGCTTTGCCTTGGCATAAGGCCATTTTTTATGTGGGCAAATGCGAAAGGCAAAGAGTTTGACACATCAGATCTGGACTGAGTCATGCCAAACTGCAAGCTGTCTTACTTTATTGGCCAAGAAAAATATCCCAGCATGTATTTGTGGACTTCTATAAAAGGGGGTGGAGGAAATGTTTTGCAGTCATTAAATCATCCAGCCAACAATCCCAACCCCACCAATAATCTAAATGGATGAGTGATATCAATGAGAATAGACCACCGTGACATTGCATGTGAGTACGAATATTTGTTGAAGTTTGTTTTTGTCTGGCAGTATTATTGTTTTTTGTCAATTGTCATTATCTTGCAAAAAATAAATCCTTGTTTTTTGTCCAAGTATTTGCTTTGAGAGCTGAGGTGTTAACTCCATCATTATGGTGAACTTGCCTCAGCCACAAAAATCGCCAGTGCTGTCAACTTTGGCATGAGTGCCAGATAGCCCCTACTCCCAGATGAGGTGTATTATGCCAGTATCCAAGAAAACTACCAGAAATACATCTCTGCAATGAAGAGCATTAATACCCAGAAAATCTCCCAGCTGACAACCAATGTTAAAACTTGGAAACTGATAAGTATTATCAGGGACACTTTGGAGCCTCCAGATTGCCACCACTTTTGGTGCTAAGAGGAGTCATGCAATGTGGGATATCTTCTTGTCAACAGAAGAGGAGGCCAAATGACTGGCTGGAAGTGTTCTGATGACGAAGACTGTCGGACTCCAGGCAGAATATATAGGCACTCATAAGACATGGATAACACTGCATGGGGTGCCATTGAATGTCACAGAAGAACTGCAAAAGGCTGGGCAGTGTCTCACCAATACTGAGCAATTCAGGTTTTGCTACAAGCAAGGGTCTTGATTTGTCGTGGTTGGTCCATTTACATTGTAGTGGAGGGCTGAAAACAGCACTGCTGGTTTTGTGGTGCCATCGAGAACTTGGCAAAGTTGTGCGCTCGCAAGAACCCAGCACCAATACCAACAGTAATCCTAAAGGAAGTCATGGGACCAGAAAAAGTTAACCAGGCTCTCAGTGAGTGGACAACAATGGTGAAGAAGGGGACTAAGGCACCTACCCCTCCACCGCAGCAGGAGGTGGTGGTATCTCTGAAGATGCTGCAGCACAAACAGGAGCAGCTACAACAGCGGGTGCAGTAAAAACAAATACAGTGGCCAGTTAGGCAGCAGCAACAACAGGAGCAGCTCTTCAGCATCAGCAGGTGCAGCTACAGAAGCAACAGCAGGTGCAACTCAATAAGAAAAAGAAAAAAAAAACATTTCCCCAGAGGAGAAAGAATCTGTCAAGTGGATAGACAAGTTTTGGAGAGGGACCTTTCTGCACAAAAGAAAACTCTTGAGGCCCCTCTTTAAACTGACTTCTGTTGACAGAGGACAGGAGGAATTTCCCCCAAGCAGCTGGACTGATAACCCTCATAAGGAATATAGGGAGGGGAATTTGAGAGTGTGGGACCATTTAGCAGGAGCCAAGGACTCATTTCCAAGTATGAAGATGACCCAAATAGAGTCTCCAGATTTGAAAGAAAATGGCCTAAATGTGTGCAGGAAGAGTCCCAGTTAGGTTCTACACCTTATATAGGACTTTAAAACTTATGTATTCCACAAATGCCAGTGGCATTGTCTTGGACAAGCGGATTACATCCAAAATTGGTACCAGTAGTCTGGGACAATCTGTTGGGGCCCTGACTCCTGCAGATTTCTGGCCAGTTTATGTTTAACAAACTTGTTTAAAAAATGTTTATCAAGCTACCCAGCTTAAATGCGAGGGGCTTGAGAGATTAGGATAAGGCTGCCTGCCTGCTTTGTGGTCTATTATCCTTCAGTGTAGATGTGGTTGCAATCTAGGAGACACACTTTGTTTGCAATGTTGATGCTCATGTGTTGTCTAGCAAATTTGTTGTCTATTCAGCATACTAGGTTAAACAAGATGTCTAATGAAATGGCGAATATGGGTGCAAAATTGTGCAAGTAAGAAATCCGTCGAGGTTCTGATCATTACATTCAGGAGGTCAATACCCTAAATTGTACTTAAAGTTGTCGCACATCTTTGTTCCGATTGGTTCCATCCAGGAGTGTGATCATGCTGTTGAAAAAGAGCAAGGGTGGTGGGAAAGATTTAGATGACTATAGACTTATAACTCTGCTAAACACAGAGTTAAAGATATAGGCCAAAATCCTGACAGAGCATTTGCAGTCAGTTGCTGAGGGTTTGTTGGGACCTGAGCAGACTTGTGCTGTGAAGGGATGAACAATTTAGAGCAACCTGCATCTGATCCACATGATCCTAGAGGGCATAAAAGATGATGATCAAGCTGCACTGATCAATTTAGATCAGTCCAAACATTCAATAGAATCAACCATAAGTACTCACCTGCTGTCCTGCAGGCTGCTAGATTCAAAACCAACTTCTGCAAGTGAATCAGCCTCTTTATCGCTCGCCTGGTGCTGTGATACTGGTGAATGGAAAGCAGTCACACACTTTTGCGCTGTCATGGTTGGTACGACAGGGTTGTCTGCTATCGCCCCTACCTTATGCTTTGTTGGAGCCCCTCATTTGCCAGCTAAGGAACAGGGTGTGCAGTCCGGCCATATGTGGAATCACTGTCCTTGGAGATTCTTGAGCCAGAGTTTCTACATATGCTGATGATGTATCCATTTTCATGTTATGCCGCAGCAACATTAAGGTGGTACAGAAAGCGCTTGAATGGTATGAAAAGGTGATGGGGTTCCAAGATTAGCCACAAGTTTTCTGTCTTGTGGTTAGGGGCCTGGAAGGGGGGGGTCGTGATTCTGGAGCATTTTAGTTGGACAGACAGTCCCATTCGCATTCTTGGAGTGTGGTTTGGGCCCGGGCTCCAGCTGAAGAAGAATTGGTCTGTAGTACAGACAAAGGCTGGAGCGGTAGTCTTGACTTGGCCTCAATCACAGTTGTCCATAAAGGGTAGGTCTGAGGCATTTGCCACTTACTTTTTTCCTCTTATCCTTTATCGATTGGCTGTACTTCCGCTTTGCAAAGACTGAAAGAAGGTGCTCAAGGGTTTGTTGTCCTCCTTCTTGTGGGGTGGTTGCAAGCATCAGGTTTGAAGAGAGGTCATTGCCAAATGTGCATGTCATGGGGGACTGGGAATGCCGTGCTTGTTGGCTTTCCTATGCCAAGCATTGACGGGACTCAATTTTGGAGGTGAGTGTTAGATACAACTTCTCTCACCTTACCATCACTCTTCCCGTTTTGACGGCTGAGTGCCATTGTTAGCCCGAGAATCAATCGAGATTTTTCCGAGTGTCGGGCAGCTTTGACCTTTCATGGCCTCATAGACTATAGTATCATGAATTAGTGGAGGGGAGGAGGGATGAAATGGATCCTCTCTGTGGCTGGCTCAGCTCGTTGGCATCTGATTTGTGCTCTTTCTGGTCTTGGGTGCCAGCGGTGGATTATCTCAGCAACCTTGAGTTTTTGCTTATATGGCGATTAATTCAAAATGTGCTATCTCTCAATGACATAAGCTTCATTAGTTTGACCTTGGTTTACAGGAAACAGCTTCTCACCATTATCCTCAGGTGTGCCCGTTCAGTGAGTTAATGGATCATATCAGTCCTAAACATCTTGTGTCCATTGATCTCACATACACATACAATAATGTGTTGACCCTATTCTTTGGGATGAAATGGATGGTGTTTCTGATATTGCTAGCTGTGGCAAGAATGGTGGTGTGGATGTCACGGATGGAGGGAATCTTATGACATGAACACTATTCTCATCAGGATCTGGTTGGATCAGCTCAAGATGAAGATCAGAACTGATAGAAAGCGTTTGTTATCGACAGATTTCAGTGAAAGGTAAGTAACTGTGGCTAGCCTTGATTTTCTTTTTTAAGTCCCCTTTGACACAATGGGGTGGTTTTCTTTGAACCCTCTTCTGGTTAACTTAGACACTATTTGTTTACCTAATTAATGTGAGTCAGTGTTGTTCCCAGCATTCTCCTTTTTTATGATCCATGTCAAGATTCCTAACTGCCCCAGTTTGTTTTGTCTGGTTTTCTCCATCTCAACTGAGTCAGTCTTTGATTTTCCTACTCCATATTTATTTTTCCTTCCCACTCCATCAGTGAATGTGCTTCTTGATTCTGTTTATAGGCAGAATACATCAGCCATACTTATTATTTTTGAGGAGTGGACGGGTTCTACTAATGTTTGTTATTTTTAGTTTTGTTTTTGGGTTCATCCCTTTCCCCCACATTTCATGATTCATGAAATTTTTATCAATTTTTTTAAGAAAAATAAAAACAGAGACATTTTGAAAATTTTGGAATTTTTTTACATCATGGAGTTGTTTTGTAGGTTCCCTGTAAATATGTGGTATTGTGGTACATGTAGGATTGAATGGTGATGAATGAGTTCTTGCGGTGCATGGGCAAACTAATGAATGAATGGGTCGTGAATCTGATTAGCTAGGTCTATGAAAGTTACTGTATGAAACAGGTGCAATGAATCCTGATCAGTCCCATTCCCAAGATAGACAAGTTCATTTGTTTATTTGACTTCAGTTTAAGTTGTGTAAAATGTTTGCTATCAGTCTATATAGAAAAGCGATTATTTTTAATGACTAATTTGCATTGAGTGATTTGAAGATGAGTAGTTTTAAAAAGATTCCTCCTTTTGGAAGCTACACACATTTCTTGCATTGAATCAGAATATCTTTTTAAAACCTATATTGACAGAGTATAAAAGGCAGAGAAAAAGAAAACTACTCACCAATAGGAGTCTCAACATTTTTCTTTAATTCTGTAAACAAAAAAAAAAAAAAAAAAAAAAAAAAAGAAATGAATTTATTTACTTGATTGCACAGTCATTATTTTTTTAAACAATTCTTATGACTGATTCTTTCATTGCAAAATGACAAAAATTGTAATGAAAAATATTTTTCAGTTGTTAATCAACAGAGTAAAAGTGAAATCAGTTTAAAGAAAATTGGTCAGAGGTTTCAGGACTGAAAATCATTAGAAAATAAAACTTGTATAATTTTTTTCCATATAGATGTGTCATAGACAGAGGAATAAAACAGTTCTTACCTTTAACCCAATCCTTAATGTCATAGTAACTGTCTTTGCATGTTATATCATAAACCAGCATAGCTGCATTGGCTTTTCTGTAATACATTGGAGCCTATTAAGAGTAAAATATGGAAAGTTTCCTTCAATTTGCATACCATTCTTTAGGAAGAAAAAACAACATTTATTCACATATTTTTATTATTTGCTAAAGATTTCATCAAACAATAAACACTGTCTGATTTGACATGCTTTAGACCCTCTCTCTATGGCCAAGTGGCCTAAAGCACACTGAATAAGACTGGTTTCTTCTACAAAGGAGGACACAGATTTGAACCCTGGTGGAAAGCCCATTTTCTTTATTCTTGGAAATACCAGGAGCTATAAACTTGGATGTGTGGGTCGTGTAATGAATATTGGCTCATAATTGTTAATTGGAGAGCTGAGTTCCAATTCCCATTGGGTTTGTTATATTTGCTTACGTGCAAACACTGTTGGGAAAAGTATGAATCCATGAATGATTAAATGAATAAAAATAAAAGAAAATTTTTTAAAATTTATTTTATATTGTATTTTTAAACACAAGCACAAATATTTGCCAACTACAGTTTTTGGTTATATGTATGTGGATATTGAAAACGAAGCAGAACATTCTTGAATCCATTATGGCAAACTCATCCAAAGATAATGATGTATAACAAATGCACTGGATGACAGCAAAGATGACAAAGACATCTACTACAATGATGACATATATGATGACTGTCGTTACAACTAAATTTCATTACAGACAGCAGTGAAGCAAAGTAAAATATGCAATCTATGTGAATAGATTTTTTAAAAAACAAATGCAAGTGTTTGATTAGTGATTTAAACTCTTTGTTACACATTAGTTAGTTTGAATCATAGAGATGACTGACTTTTGGTAATACCAAATATGGTGAGACATGAACAATAAGCTCCTGTAACTTAAAAAAAAAAACAATTTAATTATGCCTGAATAATTATTTGAGTCTAGGTGCCCCTTGCCTAAAAATGTTTAACTATTTTCTATTATTTTGAATCTTGGTTGATTTGCTTATAACAAAATTATTAAAAATCTTAAAATCATCTTCTTCATAAAATATTTGAAAAAATACTATAAAAAATGATAAAAGTAAGATACAGAGAGACAGACAGACAGAATAGAGAGAGATGTAAAAAAGAGGAAATAATGTTAGATGGATATTTACCATAGATCGGAAACGCTCTTGCCCTGCTGTATCCCACACTTGCAGCTTAATTCGATATTTGTCCAATGTTCTGTTAAGAAAGGAAACAATTTATGAAACATCAATATTAAACTATTTTTATAAACAGGCTTGCAAGATTACCTAATAATGCCAGGGAAAAGATAGTTTTGTCAGATCTGTTTTTAGCAAACATAAAAAAATAATATAACAATTCAAAAATACAATTAAACTTTGCTGAATTTCTGAACTAAAAAATGCTTTCATTAAAGGAATGCATTTTCTGACTCAAATTGACAGAAGAGTAAAAAGAAGACAACATGAGGAATATGGAGGAAAACTAAATTTAATTGATGTATTATTTGCAAAAAGGCAAGTTCAAAATTACTCATAGCCAGATCATAATAATCAATTGCAAAGCCTTTATGACTTAATCATAGTTTATAACAAATTCTCATACTTCGTCACTAGATTCTCGACAGGGATATTGGCCAACTTCACTTTGACAAACGTCTCTGTGTTCTTAATGCTAGAAGGCTTCATCACATGGTGATCTTTATTTAAGGCCATGTCATCATGCATATCTCACTCAGAAATGCTGGAGGCCTATTACAAATCTTGTTTTTAGTTTTTAGTATGGCTTAAGAAATTTTTGTTTTTTACATTTGGAATACCTTTAGTTTATAAAACTTATACTTCATTAAAGAAGTTAAAGTTATTCCAAAAGTAAAAATTTCTTAAGCCAACTACAGCAGCAACCTACTTTGCTCCCAGTGAAACAAGGCCTCCAGTTCTGGGTGAGAAATACACGATATGACCTTAAATAAAAAATTTGCTGTTTCCTCACCATTACTCATGTCTTCAGCTCTCTTCACAAGTTCTCATTTGTTAAGGTTTGGATTTTGGTTTTGCCACTAAATCATTAACCTGATTGCCCATAAACCATTTGTTGGCCAACTTTTTGGGGGAGTCACTCCTCTTGTTGGAAGTTCCAATCCAAGTTTTTTTTAGAAGACTGATGTTTTCGTTATCTGACCAAACAAATTGATAACCAATATTTTGAATTTTCATCAAGATGACACTAAGCAAAAGTCAAATGAACTTTTACACACCTGGCTTGGGGATTTAGAGTCTTCCCTTGTCATCTTCCATGGATGTCAGCCCTAAGCAGAGTTTGCTGGAGTGTCTGCCAATAGAGACCAGAGTCATTCAAACCAGCTAAAATATTCTTGGTGGTGATCCTTGGATTGTTCTTAATATCTCCAAGAATTTGGGCTTCCTTCTCTATTCTTTGAGGTTTTTTCAGTCTTGACTTTCTTAAGAATGCTTTGAATTGTTAGAACTGGCACTTGAAATTGCTTATAACCTTTGAAATCATTCTGAGCAGTCATAGTTTTTAAATTGAGATCCTTACTAAGTTCTTGAATTTTAACCTTGATATTTAATTTCCTTCTGATGAAAAAAGATGAAAAATGAATATGCTACCCACTCTTAAATTCCAGTTGTCAAACACATAATATGGCACTAATGTACTAACCTTGTTTATGTTCATTTTAAATGAAATGAGGAACTCAATCCCCTTACTGTATTGTTCATTTTCCATTCTGTAAAATAGTTATGAATACATGTGAACATTACTTTTGTGCTCAAACTGCAAATAATACTTCAATGAGATTTAGTTTGTTTCCATATTCTTCATATTGTGTTTCTTTCTGACGTTTATTTTTTTATGTCATTTTGGGTCAGAAAAAAGTATTCCTTTAATGAAAATGTTTTAAAAAATCACAAATTTTGTAGGGGTATGAATAATTTGGAGCTTAACTGTAGCTTTGTACAAGGTTGGATAATATCTTAAATATGTTAGCAAAAATGACATTTTCAAGACATAAACATGCAGTCAATATGATTGACAAATATTTCATCTAAAGTCACATGTACATTATTGCACTAACAGACACACAAAATTCAACAATTAATATATATTTCTTTCATAATATATAAATACATACAACAAATAAAGTAAGGGGTAAAGCTAAGTAACTTTAACTTAAAAAAATGTATAAATATATATATTTACAAAAGTATCCCTGATACTTTTACTTATAAATGTAGCATACCTTAAAACTATATTTTTATTACATACACACAAAGAGGTGCTGAAAATTTTTTGGCTTGAACCATTCCCAAAGATCATATCTTTTTTAATGTAATCCTTTTTTGGTGTAAGAACATTTCAGTTATCTTCAGAAAAGAGTGGCTCTAGGACCCTTGAAGATATCAAAATCTGCATATACTCAAGTCCCCCAAATAAAATGATATAAAATTTGCCAATAACCTATATACATCCTCCTGTGTACTTTAAATAATCTCCATATATTGCTTATAATACTTAATGCAGTATAAATGCTGTGTAAATCATTTTTCTACTGTAGGTATAAAAAAAAAAAAAAAAATTTCAGCAAGAGATTGATACTTGAGAAAAAACACCTAAAAATAAATTTTATCATCAAAATGTTTGTGCCATTAGTAAGAAGAAAAATAAAATAAAATTCTTATATAAAAACAAAATGGGAAATATTTGTGAAAATAAATAATGATAGCGCAAAAAATTGTTTTCTTGTAAATAAAAACAATAATAATTACATAAAAAAATTTTTAAATGAAAAAAAAAAAAAAAAAAATAATTTAAAAAATCTTCCCCAAAATAGACTACTGAAATTCAATAGCATTTTTGGTATTTGTCTAATAAAAGTTTCCATTCCAAATGTTATAGAAAAAATTAAAGTCTGTTCACGACACAACTGAAAAAGTCTCAATACTTAAAAACTAATTGGTGAAGAGAAAGACTGAGGGTCTGTGCAATACAGCTGAGTAGGCTTTTCTTTTACATCCATTCAGTATAATGCTGTCAATTCAAGTTTTAGATTTTTAGTAACTTTGTTGCAGGTTGGCAAATGTATTTTGTGTATCAGAAGGTTAGGTTATCAGAAGGCTTAGAAATGTAGGTGTTCACAAGACATTCATCCACAACAAATATAAAAATAAGAACATTGAAAGGTAAAATCATTCAGGGGGAATCAAAAATGAGAACAACATGATTAAAGGTTTAACAAATAACATTCATTTTATATCAATTGAACATACACAATCAAGATAGATATTGCTGATCAAGTGCGACCAGTTGTATTAAAATATGTAGAAGGATTACACTGAGGTTTCAATGTGTGTAGGTTTGTGGTTAGGATTTGTGTATGAAATTAAACAAGATGTTTTATCGTATTACAAAATGTCTTTTGTGGGAGTTCAGTCACTAGTGTGTATGTGTGCGTCTGTTAAAGTTACTGTTCAAAGGATGTAAGAGTTGTGTACCTTTAGCTGTTGTCTTGATGTTGGATTGAGATTTACAAATACTGTTTAGTAGTGGGTCGATCCACTTTCTTTAGTATGTTGTAAGTAATGTTCCTGAGAGAGTGAAGTGCTGTGTCGAATCAGAAGAATTAGCACGCGAAAAGTGTACTTAGGTCAAAGTTTTGGCTAGCATGAGTTTGTTTAGCATCTCTCCGGGGTTGAAGTTCTGACTGTTTGAATCGAATCGAAATGCTTCTATTTATTGAGTTTGTGGTCTCAAAATCGGCTCCAAAAAGCAGTACGCGGGAAAAGGTATTTTTGCTCAAACTTGCTACAGTTTTAAGGTCTCAGCCAATGAAAAACCTAGTTTGCTGAAACTAAGATTCCGATTGGTTAAGAGGTGATTATGCGTGAAAAATGCATTATCCCGGAGGGGTGACAGGTAGGTATGGAATATTCCATCAACCTCATGAAATTTACATTTCTTTTTAATATTTTGGATCTGCAATTAGTTGAATCTGTTGATGCAAAATCAAGTGGATATGAATGTTGAACTGTAGATGTAATGTGTATGTGTGTGACTTAAAAAAATAACTAATAAATACATAATTGTAAATAAACAATATTTTATTCACAAAGCATAAAGTGTGGCTGACAGTGTTAATAATCTTATTCACATCATCTCATTGTCATCAAATATTGATTCCTGCAAGCATGTTTTTCTCCTTGATGTTTTTAAAATGATATATATATGTGTATATGTATGTCTGTACATCTATTTCAATTGTGTTCAACTGTCAGTGCAACAGAAAGGAGAAAAGGTAATAGTTTATCAAGTTGGAACTTACAATTTGTAGGTGAAGAAGGAAGCTCCAATTGTGGGACTGACATGTTTGCTAAACATGCCACCCACATACCTAATCACAACACTGGTCTTGCCCACAGCTGAAATAAATTGAGAGAAAAATATTCAATAAAAAGTCATAGAAAAAAATCTTTAAAAACATGAAATATTAAACGACTAGTGTGAGATTGTCAGTTGACATGTGACTCAATTGTATCAATTCTACTTCATAGTAACCAAGGTAGCATATATTTTTGCCCATAAATTTGCAGACTTGAATGTAACAAAAACTGTATCTATATCTTATCTTACTTATTATAAAACGCAGGTTGTGTGTGTGTGTGTGTGTGTCTGTAACGTTTATATGTTGGATCAAATATCCTACATTTTTTAGCCGATTTCAACAAAACCTCACAGGACTACATAAAATTACCTTGTGATGGTTCTAACGGGACCGAAAATGGGAAAAATACAGTTGTTTTTTAATAAAATCAATTTGAAAACACGATTAAGACACATCATGAGAATGAAAGGGGGAGAACTCACCCACGAAAATGTAAACAAAAGAGCATAGCATGATGAAAAAGAGAACTTGATTTAAAACAAAATTTTATCGTCTAATGTTCATATATTATTATTAAAGAGGAAAGATCAAAGTATTTTTGGAGGTATTTTTTCACATTTTTTAATCGTTCCTAGCACGTCTGAAATTTTCGTTAAAAATATTGTTTTTTTTTGGTAAAAAAAGGGCTGATAATCATTTTCAATCATTTTTTCGATTTGATAAAAAGATTAAAATCTTACTTTGATATTCTTTTAAAAGTCAATTATTTTTTTTTCAAAACTGATTTTAATAAAAAACAGATATTATACTGTTTATTTAAAATATTTTGAACCAAGCATAACTTAGCTTCTCGCGCCTAAAAAATGTAATTTGAAAATAAAACAAAGCCGGTCATAACCTTTTTTCGCTTGACATTTGACGAAAGGCACATTCATGATGTTTAGATAACTTACGGAGGAGAATTTTTCTACGGATGGAAGGAAGTGAAATTATTTAAGTGAACAAATTATTTACCTTGTTACTTTTTAAGGAAAACTTTCAGCGCTCTAATTTTTATTTTTTATTTTTTATTTTTATTTTTTTTGTACTTAGCTTTCATTTTTACGTTTATTTATGCTTTATGGAAAATATAAAGAAATTAAAAATAAGACTGTTAATGGTGAGATTAAATTTCATAAGAAAAAAGGTATCTAATTAATTTAGGTACCTTTCTTATGAAATTTTATCAGAAGTGTACATAAAATACTATAATTTTATGTACATTTATTACATTTTACTGTGTTATTTGTATTTCCATTCATTTTATTATTAATTTTGATATTTCATTTATGGAAAAATGTCATAACTGAGATTAATATAAAAATAAGATCATATAAATTAAAGTTTAGCAGTAGTTAAATTTCATAAGATGATACTGTTACTTGTAGGTACCCTTCTCAGTTGAAATTGAAAACTCAAATTAACTTCTCCATACGTGTTTCGCAAAAGTAAAGGGCTTAACAACGGAGAACAATGCTGAACTCAAATAATGCAACTAAATTGTATTCTGGTTGGTCTTCCGTACTTGATAATTACTGTCCGACTATAAACACAAAAATTACATTTCTTAATTACCATGGCTAATCTGATTGGTCCAAATTATACAATTTTCAAAGCGCTAGACAATGACAATCTCACACGGACATTTTGAAAGGTTGATGTTGCTTTTAACTAATGTTAAAATATTTTTTAAAATTCAATTTAAACATTTTTGAAAAATCTTTTTAAAATTAAAGAAATAAGAAATAATTGTATTAAAAATTCAATTTTCATTGAAAAAATTTTTTGCTTTCAGAAAATATTGTCCATATTCATAAAAACAAATTAAAACAAATAAAAGCATTTGAAACTAAATAATATATTTGTTTTATTGAGTTTTGTATGTTACAATTCACAGCTGATTTTCAGGTACGTTGGCCAAAAAAAACAAAAAAAAAAAAACATGATTTGCATTCTTCAAAGCCTTGTGCTTTTAACTATTGTAATCACTAAAACCGATGGTCTCGAATTTCTAGAGTTTTTCATAAAATTAGTTATGGGGGTGTTAATAAATATAAAACAAAATATATTTCTGCCATGACTTTAATAAAAAAAAAATATTTATAATAATTTCGATCATCTGTGAATAGTTTCTGAAAGTTTCATTAACATCTGACAATTATTTTTATTTTTTGCAAGATTTTCCAAATTAATGTGTGTAAATACAAAAAAATGCTAAAAATTATCTATGTTATTTACTACCCCTTGTTGCGACAAAAGAGAAACAAGGTTTTTAAATCAAAATTTAGAATATTCTAAAAGATGGAAAAATTTTTAAAAAATAATTAAAAAAAAATTTAGTCTATTCTCTTCATAAAAAAAAAAGCAATTTGACGATAAAATTTTTATTCATAAACTTTGGCGTCTTTTTCATCAGACTATGCTCTATGTTTTAGCGATTCCGTGGAGTGACTTAGGTTAAAAGACCCAGGTGTGTGTGTGTGTGTGTGTGTGTGTGTGTGTGTGTGTGTGTGTTCCTTTATATATGGGATCGGATTTCTTACATTTTTCAGCCGATAAAACAAACATCCACTTTTTTTTCAGCAGGTAGTATTTCTTATTGTCTTGCACACTTTTTTTTCTTTATTTACATTCAGAATGCTTTAAAATTCCATTTACAAGACAATTGTTTATAATAAAATTCTATTCACCAATCGATAGACTCATAACAATTGTAAACAATGTTTTTGTTTGAATTTGGGTTTGACCAATTAAAAAAAAAAAAAAAAAAAACTAATTAAGACATGCATGTCCGTCAACATTAAACAATAATCTTTGTCAATTTAATTTTTCAGTCTTTATGATGGTCGATACTTGATCTATCTCTTACTGTTACATCCCCGGGCTTTACTGCTAGTTGTCTATAATTTTGAGAAGAGTTATTAACATTTTTTAGACAATTTAATCTCTTCACATCTTTGATCTTGCCAACCCAATGTTTCAGTTAATCCATTCTACAGCCTTACTCAGGTCAATTGTCTTCCAGCAGTGGAAAGCAATAGATGAAACATTTCTCTTGTTACTTTTCCAACAACTTCAGATAAAAAAATATAATGCAATGTTAAAATAGAAGTTTGCCTATGAACTTGAATCCAATCAACTTCATTTTTTTCTCATTCTAAAGAGTTAATTCTGCTAATGCTCATAATTCTTTATGTGTTTTTTAGTTTAATCCTTGTTTGGAACAATACCAAAGTCAAATAAACTGGATTTTTTGCTGGAATTTATTTCAACTTCAAATTGCAACAGCCAAATTATCATGTCAGCCTTGATCATTAATTTTGACATATTTACTTTCATCTGAATTTTTTAATTGCATGTTATTCCAAACTTGTTCACACCATCAATCTGAAGTTTTGATAAGGGACTAAAAACTGAAAATATTAAACAAAAGTAATAATGGTTTACAATGTTTCATCTAATAAAAATAAGATGGAGACAATACTACTGCAACTAAGGCTTCTTCTTCTATGTCCTTTCAAGATGTATGCAAACACAGCTCTCTGCTACTTCCTATCTTTTGTAGCTCTTAGCAATGCCTTTTTTTTCCTTCCATTCTCTGTTCTGCCATCTATTTACACAAGCTCGTTAGGTTACTTTTTCTCTATCCCTCTTGCCTTCAGTATATTCTGTGAGTTTCAAATTTTCCAAGATCTTTTCTTCATTATGTGTCCTAAAAATTTCAACTCTTTTGGATTCTAAATATTATAAGTGTCCTTTTTGTTTCCTTTTACTTTAAAACTTACTTGTTGCTTACATGCTCTGTCCATGATATTCTGAACATCTTTCTGTAAAACTACATGTTACCTCCAGTATTCACTACCATATAGGAGGATATACAGTTCTTTATTTCTAATGTTATCTTTCTGTTTCTTAATACCTTGTTTAGTTTTTTGAAGGCAGTTTTAGTTTTTTATTGTTGGGATTGTTATTGTTCTAGTGTTAGGATTTTGGTCTCACATTTTTCATCATCTGTTAAAACACTTCCCAGGTAGTTCAATTTTTATATATTTTTTTGTTTCTGATATCTCCAATTTGTAGCTTGCATCTTGGATTCTTTCTCTTGCTGACAACCATAGTTTCTGTCGTTTCATAATTAATGGTTAGTCCTTTTTTCTCACTTTCCTTTAGTTCCTGCAGTTTACTTTCTGCATATCTTATGCTGTTAAGATTATGTACACCAATAATAAATTCCGGTAGGATTTTTAATTCTTTTAGGATTGGCTGGCTATGAATGTTGAATAAATCCAGTGAGAATACATATCCTTTTCTTACACCCCTTTCTATTTTTGCATATTTATTCATTTCTACTAATGCTACCAGTGTAAAAATATATGGTGCCGAGAAAGATTGTGAAATGAATCTGTGGTCATAGGTTAGAGTTGATCTTCTGCAGAACTGTCAAGTTTTCATAGCTCGGTCATAGCAAACTGGTGTGCTCAACCAGGATTCTCCAATATAACAGCAATATGAATTCTAATCTTTTGTTTTTGATCTGTAGTGTTGACTCATTACTTTAGACTGATGAAAGCAAAATACTGAGTCAAAATTAATAATAATGGATGACATTTTACATTTAGGGTCAAGTTAAATCTGTTTCAAGGCAAATATAATGTTTGAATTTCTGGAAGTGTGAAGTAGATTTGATTTGATTAACCAGCAGTCAATCAGATCAGCAAAATGTGGCATCATTGTAAATTGTCTCATTCATTCTAAAATTAGACTTGAGTAGAATGTTTCCTGATTTCCTGTTATAGCAGCATACTTAATAAATTTTCTTTGATAAAATTAGTGCAGTTTTTGAGATGATGAGTTATCATTATTATATAATTTACTATTCAGATTGGCATGCTCATCTTAGCTGTTATATTCAGTTCATATCAGTTATTCACCTTTGTGTTGATTGGTCATTTCTTCCATTGAGTATATGACTTTTCTGTATGACCAGACCCAGGGATT